CTCCCTCTCTCTCTCTCTCTCTCTCTCTCTCTCTCTCTCTCTCCTCTTCCACTCTCTCTCTCTCCCCTCTCCCACTCTCTCTCTCCCCTCTCTCACTCTCTCTCTCTCTCCTCTCGCACTCTCTCTCTCTCCCCTCTCGCTCTCTCTCTCTCTCTCCCTCTCTGTCTCTCTCTTTCCTTGTACTTCCCGGTTATCATTTCGGTACGTTTTTGATGAATGAAGATGAAAATTCGTGAACATCTTTCGATGACAATCTGATTTCTCTCTCGTCGCACAGAAATCATAAGGGATGATAGCAGATAGCGATATATATTTTGATAATGAATCGCATAATAGGTGATTCGAAAAAAAGATATTTAACAAACTGAAGAAGAATAATGAGATTTGGAGAAAGAAGTACGAGAAAATGGTGAGAAAGGAGGAAAGGGGAAATGAAAAGCGGATAGAGAAACAGTGATAAAGACGGAATCAGCTGGGAAACAACGAAAGAACAGGTGGAATGGACGAAAGAAGTAAGAAAATTCCGACGAAGAGAGTAATGATTAGAGTGTCACGACAATGAGACTTTTCGCGGCTCGAATAACGTTGAGTATTTATACTTTCAAATATACAAACACACAACACTGGGATTCACAACACAATGGCGAGCGAGGTGAAGGGTTTTTCAAATGAATGTAAATGGATATGAAGGATACAATGATAATAGTGATGATACTGATTACGATAGTGCGACATTTTACATGAGTTTTTCGTCAGGCATATTAATCCGTCGTCATATTTCTGCATAGTATACTTCTACTGTAGCGTAATTACTGTGAATAGCATGAAAATGTATGAGATTCTGCGTGGAAATTCGATAGCATCTTGTAATTATTTTTACAAATGCTCGATTGTATTTACAGAAACGGTAACTATGGTTAGATTAGAGGATAAACGTATTAAAGAAATTACAAATGATTTATGAATTAATTCCGACTTACATTGTACTTTTAAAAGTACTCACTGCTTCCGTATTTCTTTGGAGGTAAGAAATGCTCTTTGAAAATAAATACATATTGAGTTATATAAATTTCTAAATTGTTTGTTATCGTCGTTCATAATTTCGATATTGTAAAAATAATTGATACGACGTTAAATACATACATATCATACAAAAGAAAGACATCGAAATTATTTTCTTGCTAATCTTTTTCATGTTTCGGTCAAATCATTTACTCAGTGTTTCTTTCTTTACTCGGTTGAGTTACCAGTTTCGTTTCCATTTGTTATACTAACTTCTGTAATTATTATCTACTTAATTAATGGACGATCAGTGGATTCATTAAGTTTCCCGAAAGTTTTAAATGATACGCAATTCCTTTTCCGGTTTAATTCCGGAGCTTTCATCGGACAACGAAAAATTCTTTCCTTACTTTATGTCAGCCGCGAGAGGCACGAAGAGACCGGCGTTTAATACGTCCGCGGAGAAAAGTCCAACGGTAGAAGCAAAGTGAAGGGTCGGAATAATGAGAGCCCAAATAAGGATTTAGCTAATTTCACTGAACTCTATAACTCCGACGTCAATTAGCGGCGATTATGACCATAGAAACTTCTGCTCTCTTGGCCAGCGTTTTCTGACTAACGGACGCATTTAAGTAATGAGATGGCTGCCACTCAACTTGTAGGATGCTACTCATCACGACTCGTTCATTCCTTGGTGAGATTCACCCCTCTGTCACTTTATCGCCTTTACGAACAACCGACGCCTTGCCGAATTACTTTAGAGTGTAACTGTCCGTTTCCAGTTCCGTGAATAATTACTATCTTCGTTTACTTGATAGTTCACAAACGATTGTAAATTCTCCGGCTACTTAAAACTTGATTATCGATTAACTGACTTTAAAGGGGCTGATTACAACGCTGGCGTTATCGGAAAAGTTAAAATGTCTGCCATGGGTTGTGAGAGTAGCAGAAAAAAAAAATTATTATGTACACATTTTCTTGATAACCAATATTTTACTAAAACTTATACACAGTCGTCTGGAAAAATGCAGGTGATAACAAAAGTATTTGCACATTCGGATCTTATGCAATAAACATAGTGAACAGAATGAACATGCAGTAGTAAAATATACCATATCTGAAAGCTGAAAGCTTACTATACATATAATGGAGTATGGTAATGAAAACTTTTATAACATAATCCAAGAATCTAATGAAATACTTTGAGGAAAGGGAAAAGTGCAAATACTTTTTTATTTACTGTAAGTTAACGATTAACAGTGTACAGGTAAATAAATAATATATATGCTAAATAATTATGATTAACGTTTTGTAAACATATGTTTGTTTTCTAGTATAATGTAAATAATAAGAAATTATACATTAGCATTAATTTTCATGAATAAATAGTTAAAAGTAAATCTCGTAACTGATGGTTCATAAAGGTGATGATTCTAGGTGAAAATTAAGTATAAACTAGGGAATAAAGGTTTTTTCATAACACTCTTCGCCTTCGAGATGACTGATTTTGAATTGTCTACCACGTATGTTTGCACTGATGACCAGTTTTAGGTGGAGACGCGTTTCTCCAATACACGAATCTTAATGGTGAAACGTTTTTCGTGGGTTACGGGGGTACGTCACCTTGTAGGCCTAAAGAAATAGGTGTAATTGAAATTTTTTCACTGGTCGTCATTGACTAAAGTATGGAGATCCCTTTAGAGGATGTTTGGCAACATTTTAATTTTATTTTTATACATTAGTTATTATTTAAAATTAGAAAATGGTAGAGTCATGTAACATGGTTAGTGACATGTCTGGTAGGACTTTCTCCAAAACTATTCTTTCGATTAACTTCAAAGGGTATGGCAGAATAAGGGTGTCAGAAGTGCTCCTAGACCGAACTGAACCTCTGATGATCTATGTATTCGATACCTTAACAAGGAAAAAAATCTCTAAAAATTTTCAACCCTGTATAATGGTCTGAAGTGTAGCAACAAGGAAAATTGAGGTTATTGGTTTTTCACTATTGTCCCTATTTAATCGTACGCAAAAAACTTGTAAAAAATCCGATAAATGGTAGATAATTAGCGGGGCACGTATTAGAGAATTTTTTCTGGTTTTTTGCTTGAAAATCTTGGTTGTAAGAAATTAAAAATACTAACAGAAGAATCAAAAGTACGAATTCCTTATTGAAATTTTAAAGCGACTAGATTTATATCATTACAGTAACGACATACTATCATAAGTATTGTCCTAAATTTATTGCAGATTTTTGGTAAGGCTCGTCATGGTTCCAGAAATCAAAAACCAATTTTTTCAACGTCATTTTCGTACAAAAATAACTTACACTTTGAATTTACGTATTTTCTTTATTAAGTATATTATATGATTCAAAATATTTCTGCACCCAACAAAACAATATTGAAATTACAGAAGTTGAATTGGCTCAATTAAAACTATCTGCTGTACCTATTTCATTTGAAAGTACTTTTCCTTCTGCCCAGAGCGTCGCTGGTATAGCGGCTGAACGTGACTGCGGAATTGCTGCGAAGTTTTTGGACGTGGGTTTGAGCTCCGCCCATACACAAAGTTTTTAAAATTACATTCGATATATATTTTTTAAATTTCTAATTAAATTATAATTAATGGTATTACCATTAAGGATATAATTAAGGAATAAACTATCATGCAAAAAAAGAAAACGGTCTCAATGAATTGGCTGACTGGCAGAAATACGGATCCATGGAGGATTTGGTCTTTATGTCCGAGAAATAAGTATCGGAAATTTCTATACAGTATTAAGAAAATCTTCCTGAAAAAGACGATTTCCATCGGAATTCATTTCGATTTGTACGTATTTTTATCCTGATACTTTTAAAAGATGTTAGGCAACAGTTTAACTTTATCTTCATACATTAGTTATTATTTAAAATTACAAAATGGCAGAGTTACACAACATTGCCCACCAACATGTCTGGTAGATTCTTGTGAGCTGGCACCTAGCGGATCTCCGAAACTATTCATTCATAGGTAACGTTGGATACCAATCGCAGCGGGTAGGTACTAATATTTGTATTTTGTATACGACACTTGTTTTGTTATGTAGAATTTTGAGAATTATTTTTATAACTATAATCATTTATGTAGCTCTAAGAAATAAGACAAACAAATTGAACATACACTATACTGTCATTAATCCAAATCAGTTTATAACAATTAAAATACTAATAAAAGTGCCTTGGTTAACCTTCAACATACAGATTATGATTACATTGACACTTCAACGTAAAAAAAGCTTACGCTTTCTTTGCGTATTTTTTTTTAAACAACTGGATCATGGTAGACCCAATTGACAAAAAACAGCTAGAACGGGCGTAATATTTTTCACGTTCAGGCGAGTGACAAGACGCGTGTCATGCTTCGCGGAAGGAGCAACGAATGTTTCCTTTTTTGTGTTACGCGGACTTCGTCTTGGTATTAACTCGATCGTAGTTGTTACGTGAAACCCAAATGGGAGCTAGTGTTGACAGGTTTCCGGTCTGGACGTAGGAGAGAATGGAGGAGGAATTGCGGTGAATCTTGGAATCACGAAGATCCAGCCATAAATTCAACTATGTACGTCGTCGTGCCGTGCGATCGTTGATCCTGAAATTGGTT